TTATAGGCGAAATACAAAGAGGAGTGAAGGGAAATTTCTTCTTTCTGGGGGAAAAGAGCAAGGAGGTCAAGACCAGGGGGAACAGGGCAAAGGAAGCAATTCAGGAGTTAAGTTGTATAAGCAGTACCAGAGGAGGCTTAGATGGCTGGAAGTCATCATCAGGACCTCCCAGTATCAGGAGGCTCCCAGAATCACCAAAGGGCTGAGGACCCACAGCCAGTTCAGCCCCGGAGTTTTTCTCCCATGGGGTGGATGCTGCACCACAGCTGCAGAGCAAGAAGAGGAGCAGGGCTGTGCTCTGGAGTGGCTTGGTCACACAGCTCTGCTGCCATAAGGGAGCTGGGGGAAGCAAGGTGTAGCAGCCCTGGGATCAAGGTTGTCTCCAATCTCTGGAAAAGGGTTGCTTCTGATGAGAAGAAATTAGATTTTCAGGCTCCTCATAGTTCATGTGTTAATCTGATGTTGATATCACTCTGAATATTTCACCACAGTGTAGGATTTAAGTATAGAAAAGATGCCTGGATATCCCAAGATGTGTTGGTAATAATGAACACCAGCAGCTAGGTAATGCTTAATCTCTGATTCAAACCACTGGCAAAAATCCTTTTCTTTTTTTTTTTTTTTTTTTTTTTTTTTTTTTTTTTGTTAGCTGCTGATTTTGATAAAACTATATTTTATAATTGCTGAAGCAGCTGAGTTTTGTTATGTTGCTGCAGTTTTGTGTAATTACTCTCCATCACTATAATTTTTCTTTTAGTTAAATGCATTGGAGGTGATAAACTCTTAACTATCAACTATAAATATTCATGGGGAGTGAGAATAGTTCTAACTACCATAAAAGCTTTTTCCCAATAATTTTGGCTAGTGCTCTGTATTTACACAGGTTGCTTTTCTGATGGTGTAATGGCATAAGTAGAAAAAAATAATATACATATGACTTCAAGCAACAGCCAGTCATAGAGCCAGGTCCCCTATAGTCAGCTGTGCTGAGAATTCTGGGCTCCTTCACAAAGGGCAATAAGGAGAGGTCCCCCAATGTGAATGTGCTATAAAACAATATTGTGTTTCCCTTAAGAATTGCAGTGATAAAAACATAGACCATTCTGCAGCACTAGCAACTTTAATAAAATAGCATAAAGCACAGCTGTCAGGTCTGCCAGCATCTCACAGTGGGAGACATGAGTGAGAAAATGAACACTTTTCACAAGCAGAAATATTCAAAGAGCTCCACTGTTTACATGTAATCAAGACTGACAGTCATAGATTATCAGTGGAAGAGCATTTTCTGCTTGAGGTGAAAGAAGAGGATAATTTATCAGGAAGCCCAAGAAGTCAGACATCAGTAATGATCTGCTTGAAGAAGGGCATATCTTAGAAATAGTGCATTTATTTGTACTGCAAGGCAAGAAGATGTTCAGAGCTATAAACACGAGTCTTGGTGCTTGAAGAATGTTGAGCAGATACAGTGTGTAATTTGCTGGGCAACTGCGATTAGAGAACTGACTAATGTGTGTCTCGGTGCTTGTTCAGAATATTAAAAGAAAAATTTAGCATAATAGAGATTGTCTAAAAGAGCTGCTCATGCTCTCTAATCCCGTTCCCTGCTATTGGAGTTATCCAAGCTATGCTGAGGGGGCTGCTCACCTTCCAGTTGATGCTCAGGGTCCAGAGACACTCCTGTACTGAGTGTCTACAAGCAGGTTTGGTTTCAGGGAATTTGGGGCTTTCTGAGTTTTGCAGTGAAACATTTTGTCCACCTGGGGCAATGCTTTTGCATCACCTTTCTCTTATGAAAACAGGCCAAGTACCAGCTGCTTTGAAATGATAACTAATTTGGAGCCCTACAGAAAAGGTTTCTAGACTCACCTTGCCTTGGTCCGCACTGAGTTTGCAGAAATAGATTTGTTGCACAGAAAGTATCACAAACTTCAAGCTAGTCTGTGTTTGGGTATATCTAAGTAAGAATGTCAGCTCAACTTATCCAGCTTTTTATTGTCTGACAGGGATAGGAAAGATGGATAAATCACTATTTTTTATGGATGGATATCTGGCAAATAGAGGCACATTTTTCCCTTTAGTTTGAGCAGAACTTTGGAGTATTCTCATGATGCAAGAGAGCATTGTTTCCTCCTTTCCTAATCCAAACTTTCAATACAAGTCAGATGTTTGCAAAGATTCACGTCTGGGACTTGGATGTGTGTGTGAATATGAACACACTCCAAGGCACAGAAGTCCCTAACAAACAAGTATCAACTGTTTTGTTTGTTCACCACCTGAATTCTAAATCAGTACAATTTATAACTGAAATATCTATGCTCTTCTTTCCTGAAAGCAACTTTACAATTTAGACAAAATGCTATAGAGAATCTCTTAACCTCTCTTAATTAAAACATACAAAATAATTTTGCATAAAGTAGCTTTAGCTTACAGAGGCCCTCACAGGGAAAACTGAACCCTCTGAAATGCACTTTACATAAGAACACATTAAGTAACCAGGTGAGACTAAACCCATCCATGATCACATTACCTCATCAGCATTAGGGATCCCTAGCAGATCCAGGAGATTTGAAGAACCAGGAAGGTGCACAGGTGGACCTGCACTGTGCTTTTCAGCTTCCATGGATTGTAGTGCATCCAATCCCTGAGCTAGAGTTGGTATTGGAAACCTTTATTTTGTCATCTGTTTGTTGGTACTGTTGATCTTGAACCTGCAAGTGTTTAGCATCCAGAGCACCATGGAATGTTGTGGGGTTGGAACAGTCCATAAAGATCACCTAGTCCCAAACTGCTTCTGCCAGGGGCAGGGACAGCTCCCACCAGACCAGGTTGCTCAGGGCTGAGGTCTCCATGCAACCTTGTCCAGGCTGAAAAGCCTCAATTTTCTCAGCCTGTGTTCATAAAGATGTTCCTGTCTTCTTATCAACTTCTTAGCCTCCTCTGGACTGCTCATCTAGCAAGGTTATCCATAATTTAACTATTTTGCATCAAAGTGGCTGTCTCTATGGTTTGGTTGTACAGGAGCTGCAGGATGGTGGTGTCAGAGAAAGGTAGGCAGCCACCAGAGGTGTTTTCCCAGTACCTCCAGCGTTAGTTTGGTAATATCACAAACTAAGTGGCACTGGGTTGATAATTGAGGATTGCACCTCAGAAATTACTGGCACAGTAAGAGCTCTGAGCACAGAGTAGTCCTGGGATCCCCTTCGGGGGGCAGATGTAGCAATTTCATACTGAAATAATACTCATCTATAAGTCAGTTGAACAATGATTACCTCGGCTGTGGCAGTGATTTAACACCTCAGGCTGTTGTTTGACATTCTCAATGTGCCCACAAAATGTGGAGGCACCTTTTCTGTGCCAGAGGCTCTAGATGCCTGCCCTGAGCTCCCATCCAGTCCTGGGGGCTGTGCACTGGCAGCCAGGGCTGCTGGGCTTCCAGGCAGGTTTCAGGATTCATTGCTGCTCTCCATACATCTGTTTTAACCTCAAGTCTAAGATTGATTATTTTTAAAGGTTAGCTGTTATGTAGCAGAGGAAACCCTCGCCTTTGCCAGCTTTGAGAAGTCACTGTGGTCTGTAACTGCACAGTTTTAATTTAGGCAACAACAGCCATTGCAGGTTAACCCTCCTTTTTACTACTCACCAGTTTTTTTGAACAGGAAAAATCACCTACCAGTCACACCCCCACTTCACCAGTCTCCACATGGAGCCAGCTCTCACCTGGATTGTGCAGAACCAAGGGAGAACAGCAGCCAAATCATGTCCCTAAAAGCAACTCTTCTGGGTTAAATAAGGAGACCTTGAGAGACAGGGGCAGCTCTCCCTTCCTGCTGTACAGCCTTCCTGCTGTACCTAGAACCAGTGTTAGGCTGAATGAGAAAAATACAGCTTTTTTTCAGAAAACAGCTCACACCTCAGTCAGATACCACCACTTGCTCTATCCTGGTGCATCCTCTTGCAAAGGTGGAGCATTCCCAGTCCAGAGAAAGTGCAGGATGATGGATAGTCTTTCCAATAACTCATTGCCAGGTCACCCTGTGGGTGTGTGCAGAGGGTGAGAGCAGACACATGGACGCAGGCATGTGATGATGGTGTGTGCACTGTACCAGTCCCTGGCTTTTAAATCTTTCCCTCTAATTCTGTGGCATTATTACAAGATGGATTTATAACATACTTAGTGCTAATGTTACAATGAAGATTAGCCTTCTCTCAGTCGAACCGTAATACATTTTAATTTGCCTACAGCTACTGCATTGTATTGGCATGAAAGGAAATGGCTTTCTAATGCAGCTTCATCTGCTGAGCAGGGGGAAATCTGTGCTGCAGAGTGTAAAACTACATGGGACTATGGCTGGCAGCAAAATTCAGAGTAGGAGAAACAGCACAGATAGCATAAAGTATTTGTGAGTTGGAGGTATGTTACCAATCCTAGTTTATTGCTAAACATTCCATAGACAGTAGTGCACTTTGCTTGGCAGGTTCATGATGACTTCATCTTTGTTTTTCACCCCTTCATCTTCTATACTATAATTTTTCCTGGAATAAAAGGTGTAAATTCATTAGTTTTCAATTTTGTTGTGACATTAACAGGAAGTTGGTATTATGAAGTTCCTTAGAAGTGCTGGTGCTGTTGATGCAGTCTGTGCTGTGCCTAGAGAACCACTGGAATCTTAATACTTAATCCCTTAAGTAAATGTTTCTGCTGTCTGGTGTAAATGCTGCCTTCAATTGACAAGTTTCAGGCATTCTTTGAATGGACATGTGCACAAATAGTCACTCAAGTGTCAATATTTACCCTAATATGGAACTCCCCTTTTCAGGAAAGCAGCAAAGCCATCAGCTTCTCCCTTCTTCTTCAGTGGCACCTTCCTCTCTTCATCACCAGGTCCATCCATCCTGATGACACATGCAATAGTTAGATTGATTGCCCTAAATTTGACATTAAAACTGAAAAAAAAATAAATAAATAAACTGATTTTTTTTTTTCTTTCTCCCTCAAAAAGTTGCAGCGACACGACAAAGATGATTCCCCTGACAAGTGGAGAACAGAAGAAGAAATGGCAGCTGAAGCAGAAATTCTGAAGAAGTATTTCCAGGAAAATTAGAGGTAATGATTTGCACATTGGCTTACTCCAAAAGCTCTGCTCAAGCCTCCAGTGGCTTCTTGAGGACAACAGGGAAAGTATCTAGAATGAAACAAAAGAAACCAAAGCTCTTAGCTTTGTTTTGTTTCCAAAAGGACACAGCACCAACAGTGGCTGGAATAACATGCTCCTTCTGGAACAAATCAGCAAGATCCTAGAGCATTTTGTTTCCAGACAGCAAAAATAATAGTATATCTAGAAATGAGAATCATCAGCATTTATTGAAGAGGAGTTTTTAACCTAACATATCTTCCCTCTATTTTTAGGGCAGAAAATAGCCCTGGTACCTCTACACAGAGCTAAAACTGGTGTGTCTGTGTACAACCACATGTGCATATGCACCTATACATAAAAAATTGTATCAGAATTCAGACAATAGAGTGGATGAGCAAATACTAACCTGACGTGTCAAGTATTAAATTATTTGATCAGTTCAACTTCCAAAACTAAGCCTGCTGGAAAACTGCCTGTTCTGCTAAATTTTCCACCGATCTTAAAAGAAAAAAATATATATTTGCAGAGAGGAATAGAAAAGAGAAAACATTTGGCAAACACTAACATTGGTGCTCTAGAAATTGAGAGTTTTTCATTTTGTACCTGGAGTCCCAGGAGCCAGATTCTTCCAGCAGAAATTAACTGGCCCCAGAGATCAATGTGAGTTAGGCTGGGATGAAACACTGCAGCGAGGATGCCAGAAGCTCCTTCTCCCCTGCTCCCCATATGCTGTTTGCCATCATCCAGTACTCACTTCTCTGTCATTTCTGACTGTCATGTTTTTCCTCTGAAGAACCAAAATCCCAGAAATAAGTCTCCTCTTTCTGTGTGACTCACTGCTTGCAGCCCAGCTTGAGAAATCTTGAGCTAAACTGCACGTTGTATGGGTGGCACACTTACGTGGCAGCTCTCATCTCCTGTGCCATTCTGCCATTTGGATGGCATTTTGGATGACTCCATTTCATCAGACTTCCCCTTCCATTTTTTCCTGCATCGTGACCATGCTCTTGTCGTCCCCAGCCAAAGTAGCTGTGCCAGCCCTTCTGTGGATGGGCACAGAAAAAGCCATGTAACACATGTAATTCCCATCTGTGAAGGAAATTTCTCCCCAGCAGCTGGGACCTCCAGGGTTTGGAGCAGCAGGGTTTGGGCTAAGCAGTCACATTTCTGCAGTGGCTGCTGGAGTTGCATTCAGACACCCACATTTCACCTTCTCAGAAATATGCTGCTCAAAAGTGAATTACTCAGCCAGGAAGAGCATATCCTTGGTAATGCATGTGTAAGCACTCTTCTCTAACAGAGGCATTCTGTGGTGCTCCATCTATGGCCCAGCCACCAATGAATAGTACTTAAAGGAAAATGGCACATCCCTGTTCCAGTGTGATCCCATTGTTTCTCTTTATTGATTTGGTAGGTTTGGGGGCACTTTTTTGTTTTCTTTTGTTTTATTTTGTGTTTTTTTTTGTTTCTTCAGTAATTAATTGGAAATGCATTTTTTCCTAGAGATTCTCAAAGGGGTTGGAATTAAATCCCCATATATCAATAAAATGTTCTTCACCTCTTCTGATACTAAACACAAAGCTGGATAGATGGTATAAATCCTTTCCTGCAAGCAAATTCATGTGTCTGGACATCTATTTCCATTTATTATGAAAATGAGTCAGTGTGTGTCTGTGTGGATGACCTCTTGGTACATTTCCCATGATATTAAGGTCATTACCTTTCCTAGAACAAACTGGTAAATTAAATCTTCCTGGCATCATTATCATGAGAGTGCCTAGTACAGGCAGTCCTTCCTACCCTTGATTCCCAACATTAGGCATCACTGCAAATCTCTTCTCCCCAGCATTATTTTGCTTCTGAGGTTTAAGGCTCTGAACCTGAGATAAAGGTATATCTCTGCACCTTCTGCATTTCTCAGTCTTTGTCTACTCTCTTAACCTTGCTTCTAAAGTTATGAAGACTGAAAACTTTTGACAAATTAACAAGGTTATATGCATCCTTCTTTGAAGTTATTTTTGTATTTCACTTACAAAGAATTAATTTTGCCATTTGTAGGTTTACCTGAATGACACTTGACTTGAGGTTTTTTCATGCAGCATAGGGAAAGTCAGAAAGAGCTGAATGTGGGTGTTCTGCAGCCAATAAATGGAAATTTTTAAGGCCTCATGCAATAATTTTGTACTTCATTGTTTTGTTTAACAAATCCCAGCTTGGCTAGATCAGCCTGGGCAGATCAAGTTGTGTTTTAGGGCTTTTCCAGCTACCCTTACATTTATCAGAAGCCCTTCATCACCTGCCACAACTCCTGTATGACTGGACTAGGTACAGTAGCATCTTCTACCTTCATTTACAGACTATCTGATCAAGAAGGACTTGCAAATAATTTTTTCCTAATAAATACTTGAGTAAGGCAAGAAGTTTTTGGCTCTCTCCCTACTTCCTTTGCTGGTGCTGATCCCTCTTGGCTGGCTGACTAACTACACTTAAGTGCTTCTATATCAGTCCCCAAAGGACCCAAAATATCCACCCACTTGCTTAAGGAAATTAACCCATTTAGCCTTGCTAAATTGCCACCCTTAAGAAAAGGCTTATCTTTAAATATTTTATCTGTGTGTGCAATATCAGTGAGTGAATTTGTGTTTTGCATGTGTTTCTGGTTTTCCCCTGGATGTGCCCATGCCACTGGATCCCACCCCATTGGAAGGATTTGTCACTTCTTGAATTCCCCCAGCAAGTGCAGGCTCTGCTCACAGAACTGTGTGTGCAGAGCTGAAGTTCAGGTGAACTTCATGTGACTCTGGAAGAGAGAAAGAAAAGGAAATAAAATCTTTCTGTGGAGAAAGTTTCTAGGGGGAGGATATTTTATATAGAATTTTCCCAGTTAGTCACTCTCTTGCTTAGTAGCACCAAGATTTTGCCTCTTTAGGACTTCTTTGGGAGCTGTTTCTCATTCTGTGTTGGCTGTCCTCTGGTCAGCTGTGTTTGATAACTTGGTTGCTTTTTGAGGTGGATCCAAAGGGAAAAAGTTTTTACTCAAAGAGCAGGATTTGATGCAGCACCCTAATTTCCAAGCCTATTTTCAGATGTGCCTTTTGAATTTTCTAAGTATGTATAGCTGGGTGTTTTGATAGTCTGTTTTGTGCATTTTAAATTGCACATGCCAGCAAAAAGGCTAAAGATTAAAAGACTTGCTAACCTTCAGATTGTATGTGAAAAATGTTTCTCTTCAAAGGCAGCTTCACTCTGTGTTGTTATTTCTGAAGAAAGAACCAGGCTGTACAAGTTTCAATAGTTTTCCTATTTTGTGCATAACTGAAGTAATACTTTTATGCCATTAGAAAAGTAGTCAGTCTTAGTACAGTGTCAAAATGTCCCTTTGCATAAAGAAGTTGACAGTGATATTCTGTTGCTGAGTACTTGGAGTTACAAATATTCAATAGCTTTTAATTGCTTATCTGCCTGAATATTTTGTGCCCTGCAACATGCCAACTTCTTGTAAAAATCCCTTCAAAGTAATGTGTCCTGCACAGTCTTGCAGGATTTCTGATGTCAGTCCTTCCTCTTGCCAGTCTGGCAATGTTTCTGGATAATATAATCTTTTTGGCTTTTCCAGAGAGTATAAATTTTATTCTTTTTTTTTTCCCCCACTCATTCTTTGAGAGCACTCATCCTGCCTCACAGCTGCCTGTTCTGCACCAAGATCTCGGCATGTGTGAAAAAATGCTGCTCTATTGACTTCAGCAGGGAAATTACCACTGATAGCAGCAGCTGGCCAGGGGGAATTTAAACTGGCAATTTGACTTGCATCTGATTTTGCTTCAGCACCTCTGGAGTGTGACAATCCATGCTGCATGCATGAGAGTGAGCACCAGAGCAATCCTATCACTTTCCTTAAATTTAGGCAAGTATGACAAAATTACTTGCAACACCCATCTTTGCTTGTTTTACTGTAAGAAAAAAGCCTCCTATCAGTTCTGGTACTTTAAACTGCACAAACACAGAAAGTGATGGCTGTGTCTGAGATCCACAGAGTGGCTCTGGGATGCAGGGAGGACACAGCCTGCCCCAGAAGATGCTGTACCTGCACTGTGGGCTGCAGTGTAGGTTGTCCCCTGGGTGGGCACCACAGGTGTGGTCAGAGGTATTTCCTGCACTTGGTGCTGCCTGTTGGCAAGGCAGAGTCACCAGGCAGTTTTGAAAACCACGGCATGCTGTGTTATGGGAAATGGGAGCTGGGACAAGGGGTGCAGCAAGCAAGCTCAGTAGTTTCAGAGCCTCACTTTATAAAGCAGGGCAACCTTTTGAGAGTTAGGGTCAAGGTGGTGCCAGGGCCTGGGCTGTTCCCAAAGGGGCATGGTCTAGGAGCTGTGTGTGTGTAACCCTTAAGTAAACACACATCCCACACATCACAGAACACACAGATCACTCAGTAATCTGCTTTAGATTTCTCTGCATTCCAGGTTTAAGTGCTATTAACTATATCCCCCACTCAGAAGCCTCCAAGAAGCATTAATTAAAAAGCAGGAGCTGGCAGTTTGCTTGTCTGTGTGAAACTATTATGACCTGAGAATGAAGTATAAGCTTGAAAAGAAACACGTTTTATGAAGGTCACCTTGAAAAACATCATAACAATCTGTCAGAAGAGAATGCAGCACTCCAAGTGTGCATTTCAGTGTGACATTATGCTCTAAGTAGTTGGAAATAGCAAAGAGAAGATGGATCAGATCATAGGGTCTGTGCTTTTCCACCCAAAATTCTCTTTTTCTACAGTAAGTACATATAAAGTAATGTTTTTTGTCATTTCAATGGGATGCAGGGCAAGTTAATTATCAACACAAATCCAACAACATAATCTGGCCCTTGCTGGTTATTTTTTAAGTGTAAAATATCCAGACCCTCCAACTCTGCAGCAGGGAGAAGGTTTATACACAAGAATTAGATTACCTCTTCAAGGGAAGGTGTAAGCAGCCAGCAGTGGTGCAGTGGCTGTACAGCAGTGACACCCAGACTGGAAAGCTCAGGGCAAAAGGCTTCCCCAAATAAATGTGGTGTGCTGTGCACAGCAGCCTCAGTGTTGAGGTTGATTATTTTTCTGGGTGAAGCATGTGATTATTTCTTATGAAAACAGAGCTACAGGAGAACTAGCTAGAGTTATAAATGAAATGCCATCCTCTTGTGGGAGGCACTAATGTCCCACTCATACCTATTCCAGGGCCCTGGTTTGAGGCTCGTAGTACTGTCCTGAAAGTTAGACACCTCATTCTCTGGACTTTCATTTTCCTATGGGTAGCCATTTAATTCAGCTGTCCAGTACATGAATTCCACACAGGACTGTTTGGATTCTGCAATTATGGCTACAGTAGAAATATCAGGGCCAGAGACACAGACATGATTGTACAGCATAAATGCAAAGCAGCGAATGTGTTACTGTTGGTGAAGAGAGCTGACAGCCAAATGTTCTCTTAACCTGTACATCCAGCAGTCTGAATGCCTACCTGGGCTGCCTGTCCAAATCAAATATTGCCAGTGTGATCAGTTCTTGATTCATCATAGGCTTTGTGTGTCATGTTGTATGAGAAGAAAATGGGGAAAGCTGAGCATAAGTGATGGAGATTTGTCACAGGACTTGGGGTAAAAGAGGTGAGGTGCAGGACAATGCTGAGCTTCAAATAGGGATGACATCAACTGTGACCAGGAATTTTTACACCCAAACCTGTCCTAAAATGGTGCTCATCTCTTGCCCCCAAAGCTGTCAGAGGATGCTCTTACCAAACAGCCAGACCCTCCTTGAAGCAGATTCACAAAATACATGCCAAGTGATTCACAGGCTGCCATCGAACTGTCAGTCAGGAGGGGCTTACAATGGAAACTGTTGCTCAAAATGCCGTGGGAATGGGAAACATATGTTTCAGTGAGAAAAGACAATCAAACAAAGAAGTGGGTGGCTGGGGAATTGCAGCCACAACAGCAGCAAGATCCGAGCCTCGCGCGCAGCCCCGGGGAGCGAGTTCAGGGGCCGTGCCCTCGTCTAACACTTGGGTAACAGCTTTGTGTTTAATAAGCTGAGATAATTTTCCCAGTATTGAAACCAGCTCTAAACATGTTCTGAAGTGAAGGTACAAAACTGAAGATACCAAGCCAAAAGCCCATTTCATGCTCAATTATGAGCTAAGGTTTGTATCGCGGTATCCTGTTGCTGTAGCTGCTGCATAATAGAACTGCCCAGAGAGACATTCGAGCCAGCAACTCGAACATGACCTCAAAGCTCGAGCACTGCCTTTGTGTGAGTGTCGGTATCTCGGCTGTGTAGGTGGAAAGGCATTAATAACTCCTCCAGTAAGTAGTTATTTGAGAGAGGAAGGGGGTGATGGATGTTGGAAATATGTTGGACTGAGCGTACTTGAGGCTCTGTTGTTTGCCAGGATGTCTCTACACAAAAGCAGAGGTGTTGCTGGGGTAAACTCAAATGCCCCATTTGTGACAGCACCTGGGGCTGCTGCAAGCCTCCAGCTACCACTGCAGTAGCAACTGTGCCGTGAGCTTGTGCAGGGATTTCACACACAGCTTCCACAGCTGGCAGGCTCTCAGCATTTCTATTTCTCTGCTTTGAGAACACCTTCCACATCTGTCATGGCATCTATTGCAGGCCTTTTACTAGGATGGAGCACCAAGAGATGCATAAAATTGGAGCAGACCTGGCAAGAAATGCCCCATTCATTCTCCAGTGTGTGAGGCTGGGGTGATTTTCAGGGTGATGATCCCAAACCACTGGTGTGAAATTCCTTGGCATTAGGCAGAGTCCTGCCACAGGGTCAGGACAGACAAGGATATACAAGAGATGATAGTCTTGAAAGATTATTTGTAGGAGCTTATATAAGAGGTCATGAACCCCAAAGAGTCTTGCATGGGGTTATAATAGCAAAATAGATTTGAAGAGTAAGAAGCTGGATTTGATGACACAAGATGCCCTTTCTAATCCTTTGTTCCTGTGACAAGCGGTCAACAGAGCTGGGGACTCTGCTGTCTTACTCAGGGACATCAGAGAGGTGGCCTCACTTCATGTTTGTTCTTTGTAAAATGATCCTGACCTCTGTCCAAGAGTGCTTTGTGAGTTAGAATGAAATGCATGCTGTGAAAGGCAGGCATTAGTATTATTTGCAAGTGCAGTTTATTGAAAAAGCAGATAATAAATCAGATAAATCTCTTTCTTGCTCTGGTAAATAATTTTAAAATAGTTGTGTGCAAGGCTTTTCTCCTTCCTCTGTTGCACGGGCTCTAATAGGAGCTGCCACGTGCTGTGTGGGGGTTTAACTCTGAACATTTCCTTTTGCCTATTGCTGTCAGTGACTCCTGTCAGAACACACTAATGAGCACCTAAGTAGTTAGTAATAAACAGCCTCACATTTTGTCTTACTAACAAAGATCAAAGCTGCTATTATATGTAATGATCTGTTATGTTTGATATTTCTCAGGTAACAAAGTGTTTGGAACACATCCCATGACGCCAGAAAGTCCCCAGGAAGAACGACCTCATTCTCCAGTTCTTAGTGGCCCTGGAGGTGCAGCTCAACAATTTTATTATGTTCTACAAATATGGGATTCTTCCATGAAAAATTTTATTGGACCTTTGGATATCATCAAGGTTGAATTCCAGCTAAGACAACTAAACAGCAGTGGTACAAAATATTGCTCTGAATTGTAACTCATATTTTTCTGAATTGTGTACTTGGGAATGAATCTTTTTAAATTGTCCCTTGGCCTAAATCGAAATAAAATGCCAGGAAAATCAGGTAGATACTGTGTTTAGGTACATTACAAAGTGTTTTCTCCATGTTGTGCTCTTTGATAAAGTTATTGTAGGTAGGCTATTTTATCATAGAAAAATTAGATCTTTTAGCACTGTGGCAATTCATACAAACCAAGACTTTGTTACAGACTAGTCAAGATAAATTTCAAAAGCTGTTTTTTCTTTGGATGGGTCCTATAACAGGAAATATTAAGCTTCCTTAGATCTTTCTTTTCTCTCTTTCTTAATGCATTATGACAAGACTTCTGGACTTTTAAGTGATACAAAATATTTCTGTAAAACAATTAATATGTGAAGTTGCTCATGGGATAGAAGTAATCACATTAGGGTTAGACTGGCATGGATGGCTGTTCCCAGCCACAAACAACAAGTGGGAGCCTCCCACGGGGAACAATCTCAGCAAGAAATGCTGTGTTCAGAACCCTGCACAGGAAGAAACCCACCATGGGTTAGCTGTTGATTGCTAACACATAATACAGGAAAAGAAGTCAAACAACAGATGGAAGAGAAAATAAATGAGTCCGTAAGATTTGTGTGAAAAGAGCACCCATAATCCTCCTCTGGAACTGCAGGGAAGCAAACAACCAATGCTTTCTGTGTCCCCCAGTCTCAGGATGAAAAACAAAATGCCCCCAAGTCTTTCAACAAGAGCCTTGCTGAGAGAGGCCATAGGGTGCAGAGCCTACCCGAGGGCTTGAGGAGGTCGCAGCCAGGTCCAAGCCAGAGCCTGGTAGAGCTTTGCCTGCCTGGCAGCACAGTCTGATCATGTTCAGAACAAATTCAACTGCTCCATGATTGTCTGTCCTGGAGGGTTACAACCTGACCTGAGAAGTAGGAAAATGCACAATGGATGAGCTCTCATAATTTTCACCAAGTCTCGCTCTGCTCTGTACTGCAGAGCCATTCAGTCCATTGGCTTGAAGTCTTTATGCTTGTCAAATTTAAATAGAAATACTGGAGCAAAATCACTGATGTTTGATTCCAGTTTTTACTGTTGTGCTATTTAAATATTGCTCCAGAAAACCAGTTTGATTCACTTACCATGACCCAGTGTGGCCCCCAATATCTTCCATTAGCCCTTTTAAAAACTGTACAGATTGTAACACTATTTCTTTTTCTGTGCAGAGCAAATGAAAAGTCCATTTTGATGGTGTCTGCACTTTTTAGACCCTGAGCAAGGGCTGAATAAACAGGAAATGAAGGTCAGGGAGCAAGAAGTGACAGAGAAGGTAAGGTGAGCAGACAGAATGGTCAAAGATACTGGCAAATGGGCCAACATAAATGGTTGTCCTTTTGCTCTTTAGCATTTCAAGTAGCTGTGACTTCAGACAGAAGGAAGACAATGGTTGTGCTGCTGGGGAACACTAAAAGAAAAACCTCAGCATCAGTTACATTTGCAAGGCATTTTTAAACCTGGTGCTCAATGGCTTCCTATTTATTATGGAATATTCTGTATTAATTCTGTAGCCTGTGATGAGCGGGCGCTGCGCCAACCATTTTGCACGGGGGCTGCAGAGCAGATGAGTGCTGAGCTCCATGGAAGATTTCATTTGTGTAAATGAGGAGGCCGTTATCACAGCACTAAAGGTCCTGTTTTTAAAAAAAGCCTCCTGTGACATTATGCACAAAACAACCTATTTATGCAGCATGAAAATATTTATGTGCTTCGCTCCAGCTTAAAAAGGGAATTTGCAATAGATGAGGGACATGAGAAAGGATTGGAGTGAGAGATAAGGAGCGATTAGAAAAGGCAGATCATGAAGTACATGACTTCCTGCAGCAGTATATGGAGTAAACCCTCACTGTTTTTTTAAGATATGGACCTTGAGGATGGTGTCTGGATCATTTATATACTTCTTGCAGACCTGATTTTCCACAGGCAGGGAGCTGTACACAGAGATGCCATTGCTGGAAATGTGTGGAGATGCTGTGCTGAAGACACTGATGGCCTTTGGAACCATCTTTGTCCTTTTCAACCTTCATCTCTCATCCTCATGGGGGTCATACCTGGGGCTTGCCTTTGGGCTGGGGAATGCTGCAGTGCTGAGCTCCCTCACCCAAAGCAGGAAACACAGGAAAAATCACCTGTGCATGGGCTCAGATGGACATGGCACAAGAGGAATGGTCCCTGTGGAGTGCCTTCATTACAGGACAGAGCTCAGACCCTTGTTCCCTGTCCTTACACAGATGAAAATTTCCCAGATTTTTTCAATTCCTAAGTGCTTTTCCTGAAGCAGCAGTTCTTCTGAAGGGCTGCAAGGGCTGTGCCTGTGTGCCTCTTTTTCCATGGGTAAAGCAGCTGTGGTTCAGCCACAGTTCTCCTCACTGACTTGTAGGAGCAGGCTGGGAGCTCCACATCTCCCCTGACTGCCCTGGAACAGAAATTGCAGAAGAGATGTCTGAGAACAGACGGGTTATTGGGAGCACACCTCTGATGGGGACACATCAGCCCATACATCTGCTTCCTGCCATGCCAGGCAGCTCAAGTGCTTTCAGCAAAGGCTGTGAGTGCAGCATGAGGATGTTTGTTATTTGTCTTTCAGCAATTCAGCATTGTTCTTGCTCCAGACGCAGATGTACCAGCTCCAGGTTCTCCACAGGCCAGCTGATGCCACCCCAGGCAGCTCAAAATGGTTATGTGCTGACAGGTCAATGGGCTGGGGATGGGCCGTGTCAGCTCCTTGAAGACTTTGTGTGTTAATTCAGAAATCTATGCTTCTTCCAACCAACCCCCCAGCACACATTCACCCACCCCTCAGGTATCAGGCTCTCTTTTGATTCTGTGCTCAAATAAGCCAGTGTTTTGTTTTTAATTAATGTTGGAGAGAAGGGAAAATGTTCTGTTGGTCTCTGTGGGAGCCTGACTGGGCTGCAGACTCAGTCCGATGCCAAGATAGCGGGTTCTGGCTGCAGTGAGGGGAGGCAAAGTCAGCTCCTGGCATGTGACAGTACCCTGAAATGTGGCCAGGGACTGAGCACTCCTGCAACAAAAATACCTGAATCCATGTGGGATCTGAGGTCATCTCATTCCCAGCCATAAAGCAATAAAAATCTTAATGCCCCAGTACCCACAGAGCTAATGAAAAACTCTCAAGCCCAAATACACACATAGTGACAGCCATGAAAGTACCAAAATAATTTCTATGCCAGCTTTCTGTGTACTCCTATCCACTCCCCACCTCTCACTGTCACTGTGGTCGATGGCTGCTGAAAAGCCTTGTCCGATTCCCACATCTGGTTCCTGACGTGCAGGCCAGCAGATCTGTGAAGGAGAAAATGCTGGTGCTCATGTAAGCTGTCCTGTGTGTTGGCAGGCCTGTGAGTTTCAGAACAGAGTGATATATTTCAGCTCTTGTGAAATTTCTGAATAATCAGCTCATCAAAAAATATCATGCAGAGTTCCCTTGTAGTCCTTTCCAACTTGCCACCTCTCCTGCCAATAGCTCCGTAGGGTGACCACAGCTTGGCAGGGCCCATTAGCAGAGCTCTGCACAATCATTCATGAGTAGAGCTGGCTGTAAAATAGTGCTCCCTCCTGAAAAAAAAAAGAAAAAAAAGATGAGGGGCCAGAGAGTGTGTTTGGCTTGCCATTTCAGGATGAAGATTTTCCCTGCTTCTCTCTCCAGAACCTTCTTCTGCTCCCCCACTGCACCTCACCCTTTTTCCTCTAGAAGGTGACTCCAAGAATATAAAATTCAGCCTAAAGTGGTAAAGACACTGGATGCTGTTCAATCTGCTGGTGACTCCACCTGGCTCCCAGAGCTAGGAGTGTCACTGCAGGATGGGCACCAACACACCGGCACCTTCTCCACCAGAGACTCCTGAGCAAGTTGTCCTCAGACCTGCACATTTTGCTGCAACTGCCCAGTTTCTTCTTTGGTGTTTCTTGAGAAGATATTCTTGAGATAGATTTCTCTCCTTGAGCAGCACAGCAGCCTGGTGTTTGGGCATGTGGGAGCTGGTGACCTTGTCTTCGTGTGTGGTATGATGGGGCAGGCTGGAAGGGCCCCAGGGAAACCTGACCAGCAGTGCTGCAGAGACAAGGGGCTAAGCAGAATCGCTTCAGCTGCTCCTCACAGTCCAGGGCTGCCTCCAGGCATGTCCCCCTGTGCTTTCCCATTCATTATAGACACCTCTTTCTGAGTCCCAGGTGATCATTGTTTCAGCTGGGAAGAGCAGAGTTCCTCGCTGTGTCCTCTAACAATGCTCAGCTGCTGACACTGTGGGGAGGAGACCCCTTAGGGTGAGTGGCAAATCCTGCAGAGGAAGGTGGTGCAAAAATCAATGGTTAGTGTATTAGGATTAAAGCTGTGGGACAAAAGACTTGTATGACTGAGATTATTATATCTTTTAGGTCTGTGTTAGCTGCATTGACTGCAGCACTTGGTGCAACGTGGGTTTAGTGCTTGTGTCACATTGCAAACCCCTGTGTGGGACACAGCTGCACCCAACAGTGAGCAATGGCTCCAGCACAGGTTTCCTGTACTGCCTGTCCCCTCTTGGATCTGCCTCGCAGCTGCCAGGCATTTGCTCTGTTCCTCTCTACTTGTGTCACCATATCTTTCTGCTCAGGCTTTTGTCATTTCTTTTGTCACCATAGTGACAGGAAAAGAGTGATGATTGCTGGAGTAATTTCCCATATTAGCTAGCACTGGCTTTTCAGCCTAAATCAGCACTTCATTTTTCCTGGGCTCTGGCTGAGCATCACTGGAGCGTCATTAAAGAGCAGTGGCAGAGGGGCCGTGGTGTATTGTGGTGCTGCCGGTGCTCCTTTGGGACAGCTGGGGCAGGGACAGGCCCTTCAGGTCACCTCATGTCCCCCATGGTGCTGCCAGTGCTCCTCTGGGACAGCTGGGGCAGGGACAGGCCCTTCAGGTCACCTCATGGCCCATCAAGAATGCAGAGAGGGAAGGGGCAGACAGAGAAAGATATTTGCAAAGGTTTCTCCCTGAGTGCATTTGCTCAGTCTCATGGTCAATAAAAGCAGGAATTTGGGCACTCCCATCTGTCCTGGGGCAGGTGCCTGTCTGGAGGGCAATAGGAAAAGCTCCCCAGAGATAACTGCTCTCCCTGACTGATGGAGTGGGTGGGCAAAGGCCCCCCCATGTCCCCAGCCTGTGCCCTCTGTCTGCACAGCCCAAACCAGGGCTGGGACCAAACCTGGGCTCCCAAGGGGGTGGCTCAGTGCAAAATCCTGCTCTCTCCCAGGCCTCGTTAGCCCTGCAGTGCCCCTCAGACAGACATCCAGCACACACACACAAATACATACTTAAAAATCAAGATCATTAAGTAAGCAAATGTGTTTAAATAGCAAACAAGCTTCTGAAAAGCAGAGAAACGTCACAAAATGTGAAATGAAAACAGCTCTTCTGTTCCCTGTGCCAGCAGCGCTAGTCCTGCCTCAGAGGATATATTAAGAGGAGTCAACCTTCATTTTGAGAGCACTGCCTTTTGTCCTTCTATCACAACATTAACATTATCCCCACATAATTTTATGTATTTAATTTTACAATAGACTGTGTCAGTGAGCACTGCCTGTAAATATTTGATCACCACCATTCCTCTAGGATTATCTTATCAAGTGTAAAGATATTAAAATAGAAATCTTGTCATGTTGCTGCCTTTATACTTCCAGCCTAAGAGTTGATTGACAGAAAATGAACTGCCCAAACTAGCTGTAAAGTGTCTTTTCACTGAGAGTTTTAATGCCAGAGGCTATAGAAAAAAAGGTTAGCTAGTCATTGGAAACTTATGCCTTGCTGTAGTTATGGAGCTTTTGTACTGAAGATTAAAAAATATGAATCTACTAGGGGTATTTTTACAAGTGTAAAATGGCGTTGGTCTTTTTGTATCTTTTTGCCATCACTAATGAGCCTTAAAAAGAGCCTTTCCTTTTTTTCCTGCACTTGAATATTAGATGCAGTTTCACTGCAGCTCACAGTCACAGGCTGAAGTTTTGCAAGAATAGGCTCTTGACTTACCTAACCTACAAAATTTCTTTTTGGTGATAAAATGGCTTGCAAGCCAGGACTAAATGTTCTTGTCTAGCTTGGAATATCAAACCACTGTAGACAAGTCAAGGTTTCTATTTATGGCCAGTTAAAGACACACTGGTAATGCTGTTTTAATGTTACAAAATTGTGCTGAAATTGTCATGTGTCTGAAGAGCACCATGCTGCAAATATACAGCTGGTCCCCGAGGGCTTACTCAGCCTGTGCTCCAGCACGGATCAATGCGAGTTTTTGCTGGAGTAAGGACCCAAGTGCCAATTCAGGAAGGTACAGCATGAGCAAACTTTAATCACAAGCTTAGAAATCAATAAAGACAGAAGCTGGCTGGGGTGTGGGGTCCCATATCTCTGCTGCTCCTGCACCCAGGTGGGCATCCTGGCCTCCTGAATAAATCTGGCTTTTCTTGTCCTGATCCTGGAAGGCAGGAGAGGGTGGTTAGCCCACAGATCTGTCCCTTTGCAATGACAAACTGTAGCCACCAGCATTAAATCACCCAAAGTCTCCCACACATTAACAAAAGTGTTATTGTGGAATGGCTGAGGCTGGAGTGGCCAGAGACAGCAACCTAGAGCACTCTTCTTTAGCCAGAGCATCCCTCCCACCCTTTTACCCTCCAAT